TGAGCTCAGGGAAGTTAGCAAAAGGTAGCCACTGGTGGAAATAAGCTGGTTAGTGGTGCTTAGCACTGACAAAGGAATATGCTGAAGGAGTTAGTCGCTCAGAAGCAGGAGGAGAGGAGAGAGGAGTAGGAGGAGGCGGACAGTCTGCTGGTCTCAAAGCAGGAGAAGCTACAGTGGAGCGTAGAGGCTGGGAGGCTCGGAGGAACCAGGAGATGACAGGTACAGTACAGCTAACAGCAGTGACACAGAAGCATTATTATACACTGGACACTTTGGAAAAAGGTGTTTCATTTTCAACCCATCTGTGAGCGTCATCTGAGACGGAGCACATCCATCCATCAAACTGTGCTCTGCCAAAAAACACTCGTGCATCATGTGTTGAAAAGGCTCCACCCGTTTGAAGAGTGTTAGAAGTGTATTATCGCTGTGAGCCAACAACATCAGAGCAGCAGCCCGTCACACAAAGCCATAGCCATGCATTTTGTTTTTCATCAGTTACATGTCGGTTTCATTTTAAATCATCTTCACAAAAAGATCCAGTTATTGAAACAATCGTGACACTGATCTCTGTGTTAAGATGACTTTCAGAAACCTAATTAGACAGATTGGCAATGAGGTCCATTTCAGAAGTCTGTCTCAAAAATTCCTGACTTACACTGGCTACCGGGTTCATCCCCTGATTGAGGAAAATAATTAGATTTTTCAGGGGCTCTTAACTTCCTTGATGAATAAAGGAACAATAATGAAAAAAAAAAATCAAATGCTGGTTACAGACCCAGTGGCAGTGTACAAAATTAAAGTGCTCATTATGCAGCAGGTTGGTCATTATTGCCATTATTTTATTGTTATATATTACATGACTGTTTCTACAAATGCATTGTAAGAAGCATTTTAGTGTTGTAGTTGGTCGAGGTTGAGCTAATTTTAAATACTTTATACACTGTATTTATAAATCAAATATTAATGTGTAAAGTGGTAACTAAAGCTGTCAGATAAATGTACTGGACTAAGTACGATATTTCCCTGTGAGATGTAGTGAAGTAGAAGTGTGTTCTAGAGGTTTTTACTGGGAGCTGATTTATCCGCATAGGACTCCTCCTCTCCAAAACAAACAGCCCTGGTGATTTAAACCAGTGAAAACACTAAATAAAGCAGTTTCACTTTAAAAAACAGTATTTCTTAGATGCTGTTTGGCTTGTCAGGAGCTAGAGCCGAGCTGCCGCTAACGTTTGGTCAGTATGTTTTTCCAATAACTTCAGATCCAGACGTCCAATGATTAAAATCCTTCATCCAGTTAAGCATATAGTTAAAAAGACCAAGATCTAAAATGTGTATTGTAAAAATGTGGCTAAAAACTAGATAAAAAGTCAATTTATAACAGCTTCCTGCAGACAACCACAACCCTGAAACATGTCTGAGGATATGACACCACTGACAGGGGACGGTGACCAAATGGCACGGACAGTTTCCTAGAATAAAATTACATATTTCTCTTGGTTTGACAGGACAATGTAAGAACACAACCTAACTACACATATGATACTGTAATGTGGAAAAGTTGCATACTGTATCTTTATGTGCTGTACTTGAGTAAATGTCCTCCACCACTGAGTAGATGTCATTTTCAAGGGGTGTACGTAGGTCCTCATTAAAGCTGAAGAAATGTAAATGTGTCAGAATCTTTGAACAAACTGTGGGTGATCAGGTTGCATTGTGGGTAATGTAGGCTCCTGGTTTAAACAATGAAGAAAAATGCAGGGAATAAGAAAGATATCCTTGGTTCTGCTGCAAGAACGCAACGCTAAATTGGTGGAGCACTTTTAACCAATGACAATGTCCTCACCTGCTGCATATGCTCAACAAAACATCACTTCCTATGTTAGGCAACTACAGTCTAGCCCAGAGGTCGGCAACCTTTACTATCAAAAGAGCCATTTTTAAACTAAAAATAATTTTAAAAAATCTGTGTGGAGCCGTAAAACACATTTTAGTCTTATAATAAAGGTAAAACAACCTATTAAGTCTAAAATAGCCTATATTAATTACTAATTATTATTACGTTTTACCACAAGGCAGCTCCTGCGCAGGGCACTATTTATAATAGAGGGAATCGCCTTGTTGTTTACAAATACTTCCAGGTAGAAAACCAGCAGAGCTTAGCTATATATATGTAGATCTCACATTTTTCACGTCACTATATCACCGTTTAGACTAATCTGATGTTTGTAAAATCTAGACAAGACTGTGTATGATCTTATCTATCTAACACAATGATTGAACAAACGTTACTATTTCTGTGTGCACGTTTTGTGATTAATAACATGGTTCTCGTAGATTAGCTGGGCTAACCGTTAGCTGT